TATGCCCTAATAAAAGTAGAATTTTGTCTGTTCACGGGTGGATCGAAGACAGACAATGGAGTGGGAGCGGTCGTTTATGGTGCAAAACCGCAAACTATAGTCGAGCCACTGAAGAAATATAGTTGTAAAACGATTACCTGCTAACCGACGCGACGCCCATAAATTATCCCGCAACCCTCTGAAGAACAGATCATTTCATAGACTTTGATTTCATAGTGGAGCGCATTTAGTTGATGTTGTTCGTCTGTGACATTGTGCTGTGATTCGAATTGTGCTATTTTAGATTTTTTTTTGCGATTCAATTTGTTTTTTTTTCCATGGATCCTAATGATGGAAATTTATCTCCACCAATAAGAAGACGGAGGAAAAGACATTTCTCAGTGTCTGAAAAGGAGACAATCCTAAATACCTTCAAAACTTGTGACCGAAATCATGCAGATTGTACAAAAACTGAGAAAGTGAATTTCACAGCAGAGGCCATGGGTATTGGAGTAGCCAGCGTTTACAACGTTCTTCAGGAATACAAAAACGAGCATGAACTGAAGCCAGCCAAAGCTTACAAAAGAAAAAAATCTTTTTTGGACAATATAGATATGGAAACAAAAAATTCAGTTCGGAAATTAATTCATTCATTTTTATCAAGAACGAGTCTCCTAGTGTAAAGGCAATATTAGCAGCTATTCAAGAGCGAGAGGACATCCCTAATTTCAAGAAAAGCTCGTTTAAAAAGTTGCTCCGTGAACTTGGTTTTCGGTATGGTAGAAGTCGAAATAGCATGCTAAAAGAAAAAAATTATAAATTGTGAGCTGGAGGCGACGCTATTTACGGAATATCCGAGCAGTAAGGGCGAGTGGAGAAAAGATTTATTATCTGGACGAAACCTGGATTAATGCTCGAATGCCTTTTGGGCGGTCATGAAATTTTAACCTTTTAGGAAAAACATTTGGTGGGTCAAAGGTTTTAGAAAACAATTTCTAGAAGTTTAAAAAAAAAAAAAGTTGGAGTACCTACACCATAATTATTATATAAAATCATCATTTTACCTGAGCAAGAAATTACTGAGTACATACCTACATTCTCGAAACTAGAAAATTTATATTCCATAATGAGTTAATAATTATATAGGTTACCTGAATTAGAGAATACTTAAAATTAGGTATATAGATTTTCATTGTAATTTTAACCCAAAATAATTTATTGGAATCGCATTCATGCATATACTCACATACTGATAAAATGAATTCATGCTTTTATTAAATTTGATTAATCATGAGAAGGTATAAAGTGGGTGAAAACCCGCTCGGCTATTGCCTGTCAGGCCCCTCGAAGGTTTAGCGCCCGGTTTTATTGCTATATTTCTTCGGTGGCCCGACTATAGGTTATCCATCAGTCTAGGGAACAATGCAACCATCTTTCAAGCGCATGCCATTGAGAATGTGAGGAGGCTGCAGGATCGACCTCAAACTCACAAAACCATAGAAATATGTTCTGACAGCTAATACGCTCTGAAGGCGCTTAGCTCCGCCTACTGTCATTCAAGAAAAGTCTAGAGCTGTCAGAAAGCCCTAAGAAAATTGGGGAAGAAAAACAAGGTAGGTAATCATAATGTGGATACCGGGACACGCTGGCGTTGACGGCAACAAAATGGCGGATCTCCTTGCTAGAGGAGGAGCCGAAACCAGGAACAGAAACCAGGGCCAGTGCTGGGCATTGCCCATAACATTGCAAATCAAACCATTGAAACCTGAGCGTAGTGATGTAAAATGCTCGAGCAAGTATTTTAGGAGAACGTTCTCCGAGCAGGATCGAGAATTAACGAGAATAAACGAGCAAAAACGAGCAGGACCCGAGAATTTATGCTTTTTATCAGAAGCTGAATAAAACAAAACATTTTTCTAAATAAATTCTGATTTTTCTCAAATTTTTCGAAATTCCCAAATTTCTCGTGAAAGTTCTGAATATTCTGAAAATTCTTGATAAATGTGCTGAAAGTTCTCAAACTTCTTAGGAAAATATACCTACTTAATACATAATTAATCATATAATTTGTGAATTGTGTCATGTTTGATAACAATAATTATTCTAATTTGGGGTTTTCTGTGAAACTTCAACATACAATTATCATTAGGATTCTTTTTTTTTTGATACATAATAAAATAAAATAGTGATTTTAGTTTGAGTATATTCATATTCCAGTACAACGCTACCTTTGCCTCCAAAAAAAAATAACTATTGCTGCTAAGTTGCTTCCTAGGTTCTCGGGCTCAATATTCGATATATCTCCGCCTTCAACAGCTTCCATAAATATTTCTCTACTCTATGTCGTCATGTGATTTTATTGGTTAGGATCGTGCTTGAGAACATGCTGAATATTCTCTATCGTGCTCAATGTGCTCCGAAAGTAATATTCAGCACGAACCTTTTTTTCTTGCGCGAACGTTCGCGAATGTTCTCGAAAGCACAATCAGAACATTCCCTTGTTCTTATCACTACCTGAGCGGACAACAAAGCCTACGAACATTAGAGAATTATGGCACTTTCCAAATAGTGATCGATTTTATTACTGATCGGCCTTATTTAATTACTGACAGTCACTATTTCTTACGAATAAAAAGAATTATGGCACATGTTAAATTGTCACTATTTTGACCATTTTTTCGCATCAGTGTCGCATTGTTTACTAATTGAACATAACCTATAACCTTATAAATTTTTAAATACGGAATTAAAATGGAAGAAATGTTAGAAGCTGCCATTCTAGGGGGTGCAAATGACGTTTTTCGGTTTTATCCATCCACAAAACACAAACAAAAAATATAAATCTATTATGTGAAGTTAGAATCTGAAAAATTCTTTGGCAACTGACATTCGATTTAGATTTGCGCATGTCTCGAAAAATAGTAGAACAAATACTGCCTTTCACTATCCAATCACAAATAAGGATCATCCTTATTTTATTACTGACCGCCACTATTTTTAGTCACAAATGCGCATGCGTAGGTGTCAATAATGTTTTATTAATTGGAATACCTACGGGTTAAAATCAATTTCCGCCATTAAACGTAAAGAGTGCCCCTAAGTTATAGCTCATTGGTTATAGCCGAGCAAATAGCCGCATGAATCCAATCTTGATAAAAATGACGTTTTGCGTATGAGAAGTCGTTTGAATGACATTAAATAATCGCAGTTAGTCAACTTGTTTGATAGTATCATAATATATCATGAACATTTTTGAAAAAATCTGCATATGGGTGCCCAAAATTGATTATCAAATAGCGCATAGACTTTTTTTCCAAAGTGACCCGGCAGGTAAAGAAATCTGCAATTATATTCAATACACCTTGTTCGTATCTTCTAGTTGGACGAGACGCCATTTGCCATTTGATTCTTTATTTTCAACAATACATAATAACTTAAAACTACCTTAACCTAATCATCTATAGAACCTAATTATATCATAATATCTATCACTATCACTAATTTACAATAAATAGAAACAGAAACTACAATCAATCAATTAACGCCCGAGGTGCGCGGCCGGTGTTTCGGCCCATCTATATAAAATGTGATAAGGGTTGGCAGCGGCAACCAGTTCAATTTTGACGCTTTACTGGGGAATTTTTGCATCTTCTAGTTCACAAGACTGAACTTATTGAACCTATTTTCGAATAATTGGTTGTTGAGTTTATAAAACTATGCCCTAATGAAATGTGAACTCATTTCTGCTCCGACTTATTTTTGTTAAAAGACGAATAAAATCTTAATAATGTTATACATAGTTCTAACCGAGCCACACTGACCAGATCATAGAGATCGAAACGAAGATCCGCCCAATATCCAAATTTTGGTTGGCCATTTTTAACATACATAGAAGTGATATGGGCAAATTTGGCTCTCTCATGTGTTAAAGTTATAAAACGAACACACGCGAGCTGATTTCTTTTTAATATTTACTTGTTGAAAATCTGTGGTAAAAAACAATCACAACAATCAACCTACGGTGAATTGGGAATTCAGCCAGCATCAAATTACAAACTGTTCAGCTTCAAATAAACATACTTCAATTTTACCTCTCACATGAGCCTGAAAGTTTACAGTACTATCAAAAATGAGGCCCAAGTTTCTAACTTGTTGAACAGAGGGTATAAATACATTATTTATGAAACCTATAGTAGTGAAGTTGATTAGATATATCAGATTCTTCTCACAGCCAGATCCTACTATGAGTTATACGGAATTGAGTAACAACCCATGCTTAGTAGACCAATCAAATATCATATTCAGGTTCCTATTAAACCAGACTCACAGCTAAACTACAACTTTCAGGTGGAAACAGGCGAGAAGCTGTGCATCATATGCGGTATTCGCAAACAATAGCATGTAAACCAAAGCCACACTACTAAGCTAGCAAAATAACTCTTGAACTCACAGAATTCGGGGGTTATTTTAAGAGTAGAAGGCACTTCAAATTGACCCCCTTTCAATTCGAAATTTTTGACCGGGCGGAGGTGATTCAACCCTCATAATAGAAATGTCAAAAGATGTCCCCTGCACAAAGTCTTTACCACGTGATTTGGCAATTTCTACAACGAAATTTAAAAAAAAAAGATCATTTTGAGGTGGGATGTTTTCCCTGGGACACCCTTTGGTCCTATATTATTGGTTATAATGATTTACCCTCAACACAATAATAATTCTCCTTAAAATGTTTGGTGCAAACAAGTATTTTGTTTCTGCAAATCAATGCATAGTATTCTCCAAACAAGTGGAAAATTATTCGACTAGAATAACAATTATTATAAAAATCCGATTCAATAAATATTTTCCCTGGCTCCAAAATATGTACATAATTATCTCTAGTGATAACACCATCCAATTAAAAACTAAATTATGGATAGAATACTGCGTAGTCAATTTCATAGAATCAATAATTTGATAAGCTCGTGGAACCTTGGGTGTCTTTTTTATTTGTCATGTGGGGTTTATCTCTCAAAAACAGTAGCAACTTAAAATAAGTCAGACATGTTATTATCCTAAATTATTTAAAAGAATAGAGCTTCACAACAAATTAAAAATATGTTTATATATAAAAATACAATTTATTAGGCATCACATATAAAGGAAAATAACAATAAGTAAATTAATCTACATAGATTAACTATAAGGTTTTAGCTGAAACAAAAAAAAGTTAAAAGTTAATAATATACATAAATAAAAATTTTATGAAAACTCACCATGTTGACATAATCGTCCATGCCAACCCTTTTCACAGATACAAGCAGGCTCCCCATCAGGTGCGCAGGAACCATGTCGGCAATTTAGGTTACAAGCTGCTCTCGCGGGTTTAGCCCTTCCAATTTCACAATGGTCGCCTCTGAAACCCCGCAAGCATTTGCATTTATTGACTCCCCTGCAACGTCCCCCATTAAGACAAGGAATAATGCAGCGGGAAAACTCACATCTGGGGCCGTAATATCCCTTAGAACACTCACAAGTATCTTTTTGTACGCATTTGCCTCCGTTAAGACATTTTTGACTACAGATACCACCTTCACAGTGGGTTCCCTAAAATTGTAACTTCTCATGAAATACCTAAATATAGAAACCATTCCACAAACAGAATGATTTTTCAAAATAATAACTAAGGAGACTCCGATAAAATAATATGTTTCTACAGTTGTTATGGAAAAAATACAAAAACACATGTCAAACCTGAATTGAAAAAAGGTTCTTGAATCTTGCACATTCTACATGCGAAAATGTTTGCACCTCGGTTTGCGCTCAGTAAGTTGTTTGCGAATCTTTTTGGTGCAAAACTGTTTTTATACAGTTATTTTTTCCTAAAACGCTTTTCCATAGCCTAGTTCTTGAACCCCTTATTTTTTTTATTTTTTTTTAAGAACATCACATATTAACATCAATTTATTCGCCTTTCTTCATAATTAAATGCAATTGTACAAAAAGTATATGTACCAAAGGTTGGAAAATACCTTTTAAAACTCATGCAACAAAAAAATTGCCTCCTCTTGTGTCCTTGTGGAGAGTCATTTCCAAAGCTTGTTATACAATAAATAAGATGCTACATACTTTGAAAGAATATCTTACCTGGAATCCTGGTGGACAACTACATACACCAGGGGAGGTACAATTACCACCATTCATGCATTGTGGATAACACAAAGCTGTCTTACAGTATTGGCCCATGTAACCTTCTGGACACTGGCAGATTTTTTCATGGTTACACCATCCTTGATTAGCACATTTCTTATCACACTCTGGGTCTGGACCTAAGATAGTCAAAAATAAATAATAGTATATTATGCAATGAACTTAGATGATAGTTGCATACCTACACTATTTTTTCTACTCCCATTAATAAAACAAATACATATTTAACTACATATTTTGAGAATAGTAAATTTCTGAACTGGTGGTGCCATCCATTGACAATTTTGAAATTAAGATGTAAACCTCATTTGCGCATAAATTTCGCACCCGCGTCGCGGATTTATCTATTTTTCAAAAGAGCCAAAGACAATTCTACTACAAAGTAGAATTGTCTTTGACAGAGCACAATGCATTTTGATGTTGTTTTTTTTTGTAAATACAAACAGAAACAATCCAAAACAAAACAGGTCTTGTTATATTTCTAAAAAAACTGACTGTGGGTGAAAAATTTGTATCATAATGAAAATCTGTCTCATAATTAACTTCAATATAATACAGATGATATGATTTCAATGTTTCAATTAATAGCAAAATAGGAGTAGAAAATTATTTCACTTTGCAAATATGCTATACCTAACTTACTTCTTTGCGAGAAGGAACATTCTTTTTTAAGTTTCAACCTTAGAGGGGTTCCATTAAGTGATTTTCCTTTTCTAGTTTCTATAAGTAAGCCTATTTCAAATCTGGCTATACCCGAACTGTTTCCCAGACATGGTAAAAATATACTAAATTCTTTGGGCCGTTTCGGAACCCTGCCTTTAGTTTTTATAGAAATCACTGGAGCTTCCAAAACACTTTCATCAGAAGATTCAAGTTTGTCAAAGTGATAATAATATTTTTTATTGCCAGCTTTCCATGTGAAATTAACGTAGCTCACTTCAGAAGGTATTACTGGCAAATAGTTTTCAAAGTTAGGATCTAGTATGTAAGGCAGTACATTTCCATTTACTATGGCATATATTTCCATTGAAACACCTAAAATGTTTATGTTTATGATAAAAATATGCTATTAATTAACGGAATAAATTTACAAATACCTGATAAGATTATATTAAAGGTAAATTTAAAAAAAAAAATGCTGACTGTTATAGTACATGTGAGTGAATAAACAAACTTCCAAATACTTTAAGTCTAGAGAAATCGATGCATTCAACAAAAGAAAGCTCATGTCAGTTTTGAATATCAAATTAAAGGAAATATATTAATCACATGGATTTTATCCAAAATTCATTGACCTCTACAGCACTTTCCAAACAAGGTTCCTACATACTAGGTAATACTTCGAGTAATACATACTTCATACATTCATGTACAGTAGGTAGGTAGGTTATCAATTTTGATCTAATTTCATTAGTTACCTAAACATTCAAATCACAGAAGTCTTTCCGTAATTTTTCAATGATGGTAATTCATTTTGGTAACGATTTGTGAAATGGAAAAAATATGGAAAACTTGATTATCAAAAAAATGTTTGGTTTTGAAATGAGCATCTTTTTACAGTACCTAAAATAAATCCATTAGCTGGGTTGAATGAATATGAGGGAAAGCCGAAGGGAAAGAGATTACCGGTGTATTTTTATATCCGACCTAAAAAGGTTATTTGAAAAAGTTACAAAATATGGTACATAAGAAAGTTTTATTTATTTTTTCTGAATCAACAGAATTTCTTGTCAAAAATTCACATCCTGTATATTTTGTCCTCACTCCATATTTGAAAAGAACTTTTTTTTTGTTATCAAAAATATAAACCCAAGTAGCCACAGGTATTTAAAATTTGTAATATGAATAAAACAATCACCTACAATGCTTTGTAGGTACCTACTAAAAATACCTTGACATGACATTAGAGAGGAAATTTATACTAACAATATTAACTTGTTTACTAATTAGGATTTGGTAGGTAGGTAGGTACTATAGGCATAATATTTTAGATAGGTGGATCCATTGGTACCAATAAAATATATAGGTACCTATATATTTTTATTTTATTTTACACAACATATTCAAAATGAATGTAAATTTTTGAAGGGGGAAAAAATCGTATTCACGAGCTTTGTGAACTTAGACTATAAAATGACGTGAATACACTAGTTTTTCAAGGAATCCGCGGGCCTCAAAAACTGCTGAGTCACCTAGGATCCAGCCATAGTTCAGAAAGGATGACTATCCAAAGGCGAGCTGTCCCCCCTGGTCCAAAAAATCCTAAGCATTTACTCCTAAGTGCATCAAACAGAGCACAGTACCTGATGGAGTTGTTCTGACTGGGTGAAACGGGGCAGCTGTGGCTCAGATTAAGTAAATTGTCAAAAATGAAGACATACCTATTATGCCAAAAACATCCATCAAATTCCAGCAATCAAATAATTTGATAAATTGAGAAAATAGTGTAAAAATATATGTATGTGAAACTAATTTTCCCTTTCCCTCTCTTTTTTTCTGTTGCTCGCTGACATGAGTAAGTCGGTTGTTGTTCAGATATCAGACGTGTTTAAAATCGTTGCACATATTTTTAATTGTTTTGATGCCCTTTTATGAACAGTATAGTTGTGTTTTGTGTCAAAATCTTGGTAAAAGTGTGACCTAAATAGTGGCCCTAATTTCAAAACGGAATTACCTGGCGTTAGCCGCGAATCCTAATTTTTATTGTGAACAATAGTCGGAATGCGCAAACAATAGGTGAATATAAACAAACCTATACCCAGCATACCTGCCTTATCAATTTTGAACTTGATTTTTGATCTGTAGAGTTTTCGCACCATCCGCGCTATTTTTATTATTATTATTATTTTTTTTTTTTTCAATTATAAATATTATATTTATTTTTATTGTTGTGCAATTTATATTTCGTTGATTTTGTTCGACTCCAACAATGGCATCTAAATGTGCTGTCTGTCATTCTGATTGTATCTTTAAGCGCCGCCCTAATGTTAAAGGGGGTGAACGTTTTGGAACTGAATGTGATGGCTGTCATCTTTTTTATTGTAAGGACTGTTCAAATCTGTCTGCCAGCGAAGCTGATGCTCTTATTGTACAGAACAGATCCATAAATTTTTTCTGTAGTAGCTGTAGAGAAGCGCTCTCCGACTTTGACCAACTTTTGGTGAAATATGAACAAGCCAGGTCTGATTTACAACGGAAAGACAATTACATTAACAACTTGGAAATGGATTTAGAGGATCTTAAGCGATCACTGAGTCAGGAGATTGACAGACTATCCTTGGAAAATAAATCAAAGAACGATCACATCAAGAGACTCGAAATGAGTACGAAAACAATGGATGGAGTGCTTCTAGCAGAAAACAATTATGGAGGCGTCATGGAGGAAACTGCTTTAAATGACGAGCTTCAGTCCTACAAGGAAAAATATTCTAAGCTCGAAAAAGACTTTGAGGACCTCAATGCAATAAGCAAAAATATGATTATTTACATTAGAGCCTTAGAGAGCGAAAACCAGGCTTATCACAACGAAGTCTGCCTCTTGAAAGTGCAGTTGAATGAGCTTACCTTCGAAAAAATATGTGATGAAGCATCAACACAAAAAGAACCATCAAGAATTGTAACCCGACAAGCTTGTGTGGAAAAAACTTCTAGGAAGATTCTCATCCTAGGTGATCAATCTGTCAAATACCTAAACAGACCAATGCGAAAATGCTTTAAAGAGGATGTGTCCATACTGACCGTGACCAAGCCAAATGCATCCTACAGGAATATTCTTGAGAATCTGAGTGGTTTGGTGACAGGTTTCACAGAAAACGACTTTGTTATCATTTGCTGTGGTTCTAATGATCTTGCTCGCGGTAAATATCCTAGTGTCCGTCATATCAACAACAGTATTAAATCTTGTTTACATACTAATATAATTTTTTTATCATGTCCTATTTTAGTTGATAAGTTTACTCATAAGGTAATATCTTTTAACTCGAAGTTTAGTAAGTTCATAGATTTTGTAAATAGATTTGTAAAAAACCATATTATGTTTCTGGATAATTTGGATGAATGGGGCAGCAAATTAAATAATTCTAAACTGTCTCATTCCCTGATTAACATCATCAAAACCTTAAAGAGCAAAACCACAAATCTCATTCATATCACATGTAGAGGAATACACAATAGAGAAAATCCTAGAGTAAGTGCTTCTCCGGAAAAGGAACTTCATAACAATATAGCACAAAAAGTCTCTGAGAGTCATAACGTATCTATAGACTCAAACGCTGATGTTGTTGTTTTGACCAGTGATAATCCTTTTTTAGAAGTAACATCAATAGACTAAGTGTTCTTCTATTGAATATCCAATCAATTAGAGCGAGTGAGCTGGAGCTGTTTCTGGAACATCTTGGCTATCCGGCAGTTGTATTAATTACTGAACATTGGTTAAGGGATGATGAACCGGTTCACATTTCAGATTATAGTGTGATGGCCAAGTACTGCAGAAGCAATTCTATTCACGGTGGTACCATGATCTTTGTACGTGATTGTGTCCCAAAACAATTTAATTTTAAGGAGGTAAAAGCATATTCTGACCTTTGTGCTGAGCTGAGCTTTGAATGTTCTGTGATGTCTTCTAGCATTTTAAATTTATTTGTTATATGTATTTATCGTTCTCCAAATTCATGTAGTGATACTTTTCTCATGAAGTTGGAATTACTCTTAAGCGCCTTACCTCCTAGGTCATCTGTTATTATAGCAGGTGACTTCAATGTTAATTATGCGGAAATAAACCAAGGAATAGTCAAGTCACTCAAACATTTGTTGTGTTCATTTGGTTTGAAGATGCATGTTAATGATTTCACAAGGGTTACACAAAATTCAGCATCTATCTTAGATTATGTGTGTTCAAGTTTTGAAGAGGGTGTATTTTGTTCTGTGCTTAATCCTGGTCTGTCCGACCATGAAGCAGTGTTTTGTGAATTTTGTACTCAGGAAAAGCTGCTTAAACCAACAAGAAGACGTGGCCGCATATTTTCCAAAAGAAACTTTATGACATTTTCGCATGCTTGCTTGGACACCGACTGGGAAAAACTCTGTAATGGCGAGCAACCTTTGCTGTCGTTTTACAATAGTCTGATAGAAATTTTTAATGCTAAATTCCCCATTGTGCAGGTAAAATCTAGAGCCAAAAAACCTTGGATAACTAAGGGTCTAAAAGTTTCTGCAAGAAATATGAGATATCTTCACTCTCTCCGTAAATTTTCACTGAGCAATGCATTCTTTATGAATTATTTCAACAAATACCGACAGATTTACCGAAGGGTTATAAAACTTGCTAAGGATAAATATTATGCCGATAGGCTGGAGTCTGCTGGTAACAAACAGAGAGAAACATGGCGCATTGTTAACTCCCTGCGAGGCAAAAACAAAGTGGATAATATTTACAACTCACAATTGGATGCCAACGCAATTAACTCTTTTTATTGCTCAATTGCCTCTCTGCTTGGCAGAAGTATTCCGTGTACCTCGGCTCACCAACTATCTCACCTGGAGGTTAAGTCTGGAGATTCATTTTACTTCACACCTGTAGTTGCTGAGGAGATTTTAGATATTTTGAGAGAGAGTAAGAGTAGAGGTTCATCGGGCTGGGATGATATTTCAACGAGGGTTCTGGCAAATCTACCCATACCAGCTCTGTCAACATTAGCTCATTGTATTAATACCTCCATTTTGAGCGGCGATTTTCCAGATCTGTTGAAGCGAGCTATTGTGATTCCAATCTTTAAACAAGGGGAGGATGTTGCCTCCAATTACAGACCAATATCCCTGCTGCCTTCATTATCAAAAATTGTGGAAAAAGTGATTAAAAAAAGAATGGTTCACTTTTTGGAAGCAAAAAATATTTTAAATAAGTCCCAATTTGGTTTTCAGTCTTCCAAGAACACAAACGATGCGATCTTCCACATTCTGGAGAAACTCTACCTGGGACTAAATGATGGGGAAGTGGCTGCGGTAGTGTTCTGCGATCTAGCAAAAGCCTTCGACTGTGTGTCGCATGAAATACTGCTGCAGAAACTTGAATTCTATGGCTTTAGGGGATGTGTATTGAGTTGGCTAAGGTCTTATTTGTCCAATAGGTGTCAGATGGTTCGTTTTGCTGATTGTGTTTCAGGGCTGTGTTCAAAAACGGCTAAAGCCAAGCCAAAATTGGCATATTGCGTTCAAGATCGGCTCCAGCGTGCCAAAAACGGTTGGCTTTACACGTTCAGAATCGGCCGCGGTAAAGTAACTTTTGGAGGTGCTTTTAACTGAGTCTAGAAATGGTTATACGAATTTTGATTGGATGAGACCAAATTCAATATGGCGTGGCGGCCAGCAAGTTAGTTTTGAATATGTGTTTTCATGCATATTTCATTTATTTTGCTTCGAGTTTTGCACTTTGATTATTCAATAAAATATATGTAGGTACGTAAACTATTGAGTTGGGCAGAAACTAGATATTTTTTGTGTTTTTTCGTCCATGTGTGGACGCCACGCCATCTTGAATGTCACGTGGTTTGGATTGCCTAATTGAGAAACGGTATTTGGCGTTCCAGCAAATTCACACCAGATTTGGCATTGCCGGTAGAAGGGGAAAAGTAGGTTTTGGCATTAGCATTGCCGTCTTTGAACGCACTCCCGGGGAATTGGGTGTCACAGCGGGCGTGCCTCAGGGCTCTGTACTTGGTCCGCTCTTGTTTCTCATCTATGTTAACGACTTACCATTAATAATCAGAAACGGCCATTGTACATCCTTTGCCGATGACACTACTCTGCTTTGGCATAGCCAGGATCCACATATTCTTAGTGAAATGATAACCCAGGATCTGGCTAGTCTGAAAAGATGGTGTGACGGCAACTGTTTGTCTTTTAATGTATCAAAGACAAATATTTTAAATTTTAAGTGTATGTTAAATGATATTTGCTTAGACTCTCAGCCAGTCACGAGGACAAATTATAATAAGTTTTTAGGCTTAGTTCTCGACGATAGGTTAGGGTTTGACAAACACATTGAGCAGCTGTGCTCGAAACTAGCATCAGGCTGCTTTGCAATAAAAACAATTAGGAGTGACCTGAATGTTGCAGTGGCTAGAGATGCGTATTTTGCTTTAATTGAGTCACATCTAAGATATGGTGTATGCTATTGGGGTAATTCATCCGCTTATCTTTTGAATTCTTTGTTTGTTTTACAGAAGCGTGCCCTAAGGTGCCTGTGCGGGCTTAGTTTTAGGACGTCGTGTAAACCATATTTTATTAGTGAACGAATTTTGACTCTTCCAGCAATTATTATACTGGAAACTGTCTGTCTGATGCATAAGAAGCATTCCTCCATCATTCACTCCTTGAACACAAATAATACCCGCTCATCTTTTAATATAAATTTGCCAATTCCTAAATTGACACTGACTCAAAATTCGATTTTCTATAAAAGCAAAAAGATTTTTAATCACTTACCAATGTCATTTCGGAAGATAGTGTCATACAGATTATTTAGACAACAGATAAAAATGTTGTTGCTTGAAAAGGCATATTATAGCATGGAGGAATACTTCCTTGACCATTTTTAGATTCTTACATTTACGTTTTTGTGTTTGTCTTGTGGTTTGAACTTGTTTGTAACATATTATTTTATTTTATTTTATATAGTGTGCTTGTATAGTTTATATGTATTCTTAGCACTAAGTTTGGCTTTGTCTACAAAAATTGTTTTTTTTTTGACAATAAAGCATATTTGATTTGATTTGATTTTTGATTTATTTGCGTTATGAGGTTGCTATTATAGATATAAAAACAACAACGCCCTTGGCAAAATCTCCTCTGAAACGGGGGTTTTTATTGAAAATAGGGTTACAGAGGAACTGGAGAAACTGTTTTTGTTTTCCTGTCAAGACCACCAGTGTACTGGTCGTGGAATCCCTCTGGTAAACTATCAAAATGGTCTGCCAAGATCATGAAACTGGTACGGCTTACAAAGGTCAGCAAACGAGGGTCTCAGAAATAGGCTGGAAGGACATCTCGTCTGTGGTATAAGGGAAGATAAGTATGTGTTAACTCTGTAGATTGAGACCCTGGTAAACCATTTGTTCACCTCACTGGTCCTCAGTGGTTGGCCTGAAAATTCAGGTAATGACGGGTTGGCCTCTGAGGAGAATCGCATAAGCTTCAAATCCAAGGAACCATTGAGGTAGAAGCTGTTTGCGATGAGCCATTCGCAAAATCAGATTCCGCCTCTCAAGTAGTCAGTGGAGGTGGTTATCCTTCTTGCAAAGGATACCGACTCAATAGCACGGAGCTAAGAGAAGTTGTCAACCCCAAAGTCAGACAAACCACAAGCTTCTTGGCACAGTAGTGCTCTGTCTCCACCTGGAGGAAAGCTGGTACCAAGGCTGGCTTTAATTGAGAAATCCTGGATAGTTAAATTCAAAGTTATTGGACTAGCTAAACTAAATTGATGCATCTATCCACTTTTGATATCGCACACTTCAACATGGAATGCATTAGCATTGCTGGTGAAGCCCTAGTTTTAGTGTATCTCCCACATGACTTGGCAACTCTGCCTCCTACAATGGAAAAAGAGGACCTAGTAATTAACTAAATGAACTATACCTAAATGGCAAAACTCATAAATCAGAAGATAGGTACTCTTGCTTGGCTGTGGACACAAACGCATATAATGTGACTTGGGAGCAGTGGGGATAGAGAAATACAATATCTATGCAACAGGTAAAGTTTGAGAAAAGAAACCAAGAAACTTGAAAATTAACAGTGAACTTTGTGGCAAGATCAGTAATTTGGAAACTGAACTGACTACAATAAACCAGAAAGTTAACAAAGGCAAATTGAAGTGAATATTATTGTTCAGTTTCGGTGGTGGTGGTGCTAAAAAAGAGACATTCAAAAAGACTGGTTAAGTACATAAAATTAAATATCCAAAGACATCAAGAAGAGGTACCTACAGTGTTAGAGTTTAATCGGAAGAGGTTGGTTAAATATATACCTATTTCTTACCACTGAACATTTTCACTTGTTTTTCATCAATCCATAAAGTCAAGTCACTGCTGTTCCTTGGATCGTTTTTCGGATCATTACGAGATAATACTATTGCAACAACTGACACAAGGTAAAATAACACAAAATTCATCACAGCTTTCTTTGTATACATACTAAAAAAATACAAAATATATACATTCAAAACTGCCGTAGCTATCATCATTACTCATACTATGAATAAGTATACCCGAGAGTATACCAAACTATTAAAAAATCATCTTCATTCCCTTGGTTAGGTTCTAAATTATTTTTTGAAAAATAAAACATTCTTGAAGCTCAGGAAGCCCACAGAAGCTCGAGTGAAATAAATGTTTTGATAATTACTGAAATAAAATTCACTTACATTTTGATATTCACAATTAAAAGTGTTTAAATAAAACTGTAATTTCTTATAAAAAGTAAAATTTGATTATAGAAAAATTCAGCACTAAATATTTACATTAAACTACTTATTTACATTTAAACTATCTAAGACACAAACATTACATGTACCCATGATCTAAATGCTTCTGAAAGCATCTGCCTGGCGACTAGTATTATTGTCCGCTTATGTATTCATTACAGATGTCAGATTAAAAACAAAACAAAAACACATGTATATCCGCCATCTTCTGCTGATATCACTAACAGTGTCATCAAGGATCAAATCACTCACTGCGTCGTTTTCCTTTTTTATTTCCTACTTTGTAGGGTTTGTTCGTTTAATTTGTCAAGGATAATCTCGTTTCTTGACTTCTTGTCTTTGGTGTAATCTATTTAACTTCAATTCCAAAACATATATCGGTCTTCTTTTAATTTATAGGGCAAAACAAGGCTAGCAAATACCTTATTATTTTAAGACGAAGACTAGTTACAAATTATTTGATTTGATTTTGCTTCACCAAAATGTCAAAATTTGATTTTCCCACCCTTTTTTTTTGTGCTAAGGCAGTAGACCACCGGGAAAACCACCCGATGTTAATACCATAGCCGCTTTCCATCGGCCGTTTTATGCACGCAATCGAGCATTTGCGTTCTCTTATTATACAATCGACTAAGTGAATCGTACGGTGCAACATTTTGGTGAATTTAACCACACGCGGATCATGATGTACATTCCATTCATTTACCGTTTATAACACGGTTACAAACGGTTAGTAACTGAAAAATCCTTTAAATTTCCAAAATAAACATTTTCGAGAGTGCAAGTAGAGTACGAGTACGGCTTAACAATACGTCATTTCGATCATAGATGGCGATTACACCACATACAGTTTACAGTGACTTTATTACCACAGTGACGACAATTGCCGTCTTCTCGTCTTCTTTTTGATTGGTTCTTTAAAATACAATATATTCATATGGAAAACGCCGCGATTTTGTGGCCAACCTTTTGCTACTTTTGAATATGAATATATAGGATTTAAATGGACATCCATCATAAAAAATTGATCACAACGTATTTGATGTACCCAATAATAGTCATCATCAAATGCGTTGTTTTCAATTTTTCATGATGGATGTGCATTTAAATCCTATATAATCATATTTAAAATTGATAAGAGGTAGGGCACAAAATGGCCGCGTTTTCCATATGAATATATAGGATTTTAAAGAACCAATTAAAAATAAGAGGGCAATTGTCACCACTGTGGTTTAATGGAGTCACTGTCATATCACATACAGTGACTAAATAAACCTTTTCCCGTCGCCATATTCTTACTAATTTCAAAAAGGAATAGAAGTAAACCATGCCCCCGCCGCCATACTCTTGCTCATTTTCAATGCTTATAGGATTTCAAAGAACCAATCAAAAAAGACGGCAACGTGTAAAATATGTAGACAACGCGTAAATTATACAATTTTTGACAGTTGACAGCCTTTAAGGTTATGTTTCTGTTTTTGCTTTGCTTTGTTAATTGTTTTTTGCTTTCTAAAGTTAATTGAACTGCAGATAATGACTAATTGAATACAATATAAATTTAATGCAATGCAAAATTTCAAAAAAATTACTCAAATTTCAAATTTTCGGTTGTCTACACTATCGTCTACATCATGTCTACATTGTCTACATAGTTTACATAGTCTACATGGAAAAAAGTGGATGTACAATACGTAGATAACGAGTAGACAAACCGCGTAAAGTAAATTTCATAGTCTACGGCACATCCCTGATTTAAATGGACATGTGTCATAAAAATTGGAAAAAACGTAGGTATTTGATATAGGTACCTAATAATAGTCATCAAATACGTTGTTTGATGAATCTCCATTCAAATCCTATACATATATGCATATCGACGCCTCCAAAAGAAAACATTGTAAGTGACAATTTCAAATTTTACAGGAGAGCGATTTGAAATTTGACGACTTTTAAATCGCTCCTAGTCTTTCAGAAATGACTAAAACTTTTCTGCGACTTTTTGATTACTTTTTTCGGAAGGTCACAAAATAGTTTGTGGGGGCGATTTGTTTATTAAACTTAGTTTGAGGCTTTTTTGTGTGACTTACAATTACGCTAAAACACAATTTCAGCAGAAAAAAAATTGTATTGGCTCTTACATTGTTTTTGTCCGGAAATTTTTTTAAGAACGTGAATTGTAATGCTTTTTACAATTTTGAAACCTTAAGACATTTCCAAACAAAAACATTGTAAGAGACTTTACAATGTATAATTTCTTAGAGAAAAAAGAAAAATAATCAAAAAAAAAATGAAGCTTCATTCAAAAAACAGAAAACCTATTCTAAATTATGTAGTAAAACATGAACATAAAAATGTGTTATATTAGTCAGAATCATTATCGCGAACATCTTTCTAGGTTAGAAAATGCATTGTAAATGACACGCGGTTTGCATAGTTTCCAAGGAAAAACATTGTATCTACATGTTAAGATTTTATTCTCCATGCAAAACAATTGTAAAGTACTTTACAATTTTACAATCCATTAAAATATCCGTGCAAAATGATTGTAATGGCTGTTGCCATTTTTTTGCACCAAGAATGAGAATTTTTAGAATTGTAAAGTACTTTACAATTCAAAGGGGCATTATAAATGAAATTGTATGCACCCTTACTGCTTTCTTACCCGGATTTTTTTTTAAATTGTTAGTTACAATTAAAAAAAATAATAAAAGCTGGGTTTTCCCGCAAAAAATTGATGATTTGGCATTTATTTTTAGGAAGAGTAATAGCACCCAACGAACACAACTTATCGTCGCTGTAATGTTGCTGTATCACGAACACAGCCCAAATACAGCACATAAATAGTTTTATTAATGCTGCGCAGCACTTGCATTGGGAATACTGTATTTTAGAAGTGCAGTATTTGATATGCAGCGGCTTTGCAGATTTTGTATTGGAAAAGCGATAGATTATTTCGATCTCCCATGCGCATATTGATGCAACAACTGTTGTAAAATGTTAGTGCAGTTACTGTAAAGAAATGTGCCAATTTGCGCGAGCACAGTATTTTTTGCCGTAGAGTTGTGAGCGTAGCCATTTTGTTTTATTTTATTGTATTGTATTGTTCCACTGATGCAGGGCAGCGTTTTTGATTTATAATTTTTGTGGTGTTTTTCACGTGTCTTTTACCTGTGATTTGTATTACTACGTGTACAAGATGCATTAGCAACAAGAGGAAACAAGGTAGGTAAAAATTGATACAAATAAACAAAAACAAAGGCCCCCGTATTATCATAACCTAAGTTTTCTATCGTTTTTCTATTTGCCCCCGTTTTCCGTTTTCTATTTTTGTGATTTAAAAAATGGATTTACAAAAGAGAAATAATCTTTCAGGTAAATAGTCTCGGAATACTAGGGGGCAAAAACACTGAAGAAGTATGTAGGAACATATTAGCCAGATTATTATCTAAAAATTGAACTCCTCAGCTGAACTGGACAGGGCGCCTTCAAAAAGCACAATTTTCAGAATATACCTATATCATCAACATCAATAAAGCAATTTAGGTAAGTTGGTGCAAGGTGAAACGGTTTTTAAATTTTAACTCAATTTTGTCTTTATTTAGTCAATGTAAGAAAAAATAGAGCCAGTCAGAATGCGTCTCAATCAGAAGCTGAAAAAGCCACCAAAATATGGTTAAGGAATAAGGAATATTATTGTTTAATGTCCCACCCCATTAATATATCCTATATACCTACTTTAATTTGCTTTGTCATTTTTCAAAAATATCCTGTCTATATAAAATAAATTATGTCCATTAAATTTAGAGTGCCACAGGTAAATATACCTAAACGGTATATTAGCTGCTCCACAGTTATTGCGAAACAAATATGTACGACCTCTTCAAGAGCGCTGCGTTATTGCTGTGTTAAAATTGCATAATGAAGAGGCAGAGCTACTGCACAGTGGCTGTACTCAAATGCAGCATGAACAGTGCAGCGCCAGATGCAGGCCGGTGGGACATATATGATCCGGGCTGATGCAGCTGCTTCGTCTACATCGCTGTACAACAAGTACAGCACAGTATCACAGTTTTTGCGCAGCGGCTGACTTTCCGTGTTTGCTGGGCAGTAGGTTAAAAAAATGCGAAAAAGCGAAAATCGTGAATTTGTCACTTACAATGTTTTCTATTGGAGGCGTCGATATCTAAAATTAGCAAGAAGTAAGGGAGAATGGAGAATATGACGACGGGATCTCTAATTAGAGAGTTCTCGTGCTGTCCAAATTTCAAATACCGTAACGCTATTTGACAAGTATGAGAGTTCTCACGGTATTAGCGTTAGCGGAGCCCGCTATCTAACGGGACTTAGCGGATGCCTTACCGCAACACTATGCTATGTCAAAATTAGTACACGCTCCATTTCCGTCTGCAAGAATACCAACTTCTAATAATTCCTCCATAAAAAACACCAAGGAAAAATTAATCAAACTCAGAATCTTCAGGATATATGTATAACAGGCCAGCATACATACACGTTAATTTCGCACAGTTTATCGTGTCATCTGCAAAAACCTGTAAAAAATCATGCGTGTGAGTGAGGAGGGCTGCACGCAATGCAAATAATGCAATGATAAAAAGGGCAGGGATTTGAGACGTGCTTTCATTTGGAATGTGGCGTCAGGACTCAGTAGTACATGAGTGCAGTTCACACTCGTGTCCACACGCCATTCCACGTCACGGTTTTGAGGCTAGTACGAAGACCTAAACGCCGCGTAGCGAACTATCACGTTGAAAATTAGTATCTACATATGACTACATGCACTTTCAAACGACACGATAAGTGACACTTTTTGCCCATACACATACATCCTTTGAAACTGATATGCTACGTGTAATCACGTGCTAAATCATTTGAATACTTTGGTAAAGTGTATGCTGTTCTTTCGCGCATGATAACCGCCAAATTTCAACATGCCACGATAAACCGCACGAAAAAACGTGTGTGTATGCCGGCCTAATAAATTAGAAAACAAGCAGAAAAAAGTTGGGTTAGATCACTCAACTCAGCTGTCAAAATGTGAACAGAATAAGGGATTGGAGGATTTTTGCGTATTCGTGTCCGAGAACTATCAAATACCATGTAAAATACCGTAAAATTAGCGGTACCGTATTAGCGTAGCGTCTCAGGCACGAGAACTCTCTGTCGCCACTGCCCAAGGATATATAATACCATTGTATACAGGGTGTCACGAAAGGTT